ATGGAACATGTAGAAAGAGAATCTCAAAACTTATAATCGAATGCAAAACTCGTTTGTCACATTTCACTAAAAATTCATCACGCTTAGGTTATAGAGGGCTCTGATGTCAAATTTAATAATAATAATTTTTAAAAATTAATAATAATAACCAATAAATTATTTTTTTAGATTTATCTCAAATTTAAGAATCGGGGATTTTAGAGGGCACTAATATCGAAGTTAATAATAATAATAATTTTGAAAAATTCAAAATGTCTAAAAATTTTTTATTTAAATTTCTTTATAATTCACCACTCGGCGATTATAGATGGCGCTGATGTCAAATTTAATAATAAAATTTGTTTAAAATTAAATATGGTGGCAAAAAGAAAGTTTTTCAGATTATTCTAAAAATAATTATTTTAAGGTATATAGAGGGCGCTGAGGTAGAATTTTATAATTTTCAAAAATTCAAAATGGCGATCAAAAAATAGATTTTTAAAATTTTTCTAAATATAGTCGTTTAGTGATATAGAAAGCGCTGAGGTAGAGTTTCATAATTTAAAAAGTGCAAAATGGCGGCAAAAAATGTTTTTTCAGTTTTTTTTAAAACCTAAGATGCAAATCATTTTAAGGTTATGTTTGTCGTAATTTTATCTTAATTAAAAGTTTATTTTTTATTATGTAAAGTGAAATCAGTTTTAATTGAATATTTTCAATGTTTTGAAGATTTAAACACCAATAATTTATATTGACAGTTGATTCCCTTTGTGTATTTTTACTTTAAAAATCACAAACATAAGCTACAATTTTTTGATTAGGTACTATTTTGAATTTCCGAAAATTATTACTATTATTAAATTCGAGAGCAATGCTCTTTAAAACCCCTGAGCGATAAATTTTAAAGAAATTAAACAAACAATTTAAGGGTAGCTATCTCGAATTTTTGAAAAATATTAAATTTTACCTCTAAATGATGGTTTTTAGAATAATTTAAAAATACTTTCTTTCTGCCACCATTTTTAATTTTAATCAAATTTTATTATTAAATTTGACATCAGCGCCATCTATAATCGCCGAGTGGTGAATTATAAAGAAATTTAAATAAACAATTTTTAGACATTTTGAATTTTTCAAAATTATTATTATTAATTTCGATATTAGTGCCCTTTAAAATCCCCGATTCTTAAATTTGAGATAAATCTAAAAAAAAGATTTATTGGTTATTATTATTAATTTTTAAAAATTATTATTATTAAATTTGACATCAGAGCCCTCTATAACCTAAGCGTGATGAATTTTTAGTGAAATGTGACAAACGAGTTTTGCATTCGATTATAAGTTTTGAGATTCTCTTTCTACATGTTCCATTTAAAAAGATTTGATTAGTTTATGTGCTGCCATCAAGCATTTCACCACATGAACTTACGCCTTGTTGTCGGTAAATTCTTATTGTTGGAACATTTATTTTTATTACTTTTATTTTAATTAATTTCTGTCAAAAATAGTAATTCTAATTTGTAGAAATTTACTTTTTTAATGTTCTTTTTTAATATTATTTCCTGTAAACAACACATTTAGTTAAATTGCACACAAATTTCATGATAAACTTTCACATATTTACCTTTTTTTTAAGTATTAATTTTTAACTTATTTTCCATTAATCATCCCAGTAAAAAAAGATTTATTGAGCAAGCGATTTGGCTGATTGAGCAAGCCGTCTGCCCAATTGTCTAAACGACATTCGGACAATTGGACTGTTTGCTCAATCATCCAATGCATTATGCCCAATCACCAACATTGTATTTCGCGTCTAATAAAAGAAGAAATCGGTCTGAGTGTTGAGAAAATGATAAATCATGAATAATTATTGTTAAAAAGCAAGAAGTAATATATAAAAATACCTGAAATAAGAATAAATAACGAGTTTTGTAAAATGTTATTTTTTAGTTGACAGTGCACTGATGTAATATGAATTTTGTCGGTAAAAGTGAGGAGTATGATAAAGAGAAACGTTTCTTTATCGACTCGTGATACATTTCAGTTGATAATAAAAAATTGTAGATTTCTTGTTTTTTTAAAAAATAAGGAGAAATTTCAATTGAGTATTTAAAAATAAATTTTAATTGATTTAATTTAATTTAATTAGTGGATTAATGAATCAGTGAAGTGAATTAAATTAAATTAGGTTAAATACATTGAATAGTGGTAAGTAATTATATTTTGTAAAATTATTATTTATTAATAGAATTATATTCTTTGTTAATTTGTCTAGTATTATTCTTTTTACAAAAAAATAAGTATAAATAAAAAAATGAGCCTCATAACAAGAATTATTTGGTCAATATTTTAGGAAGGTGTCATTTGAAGAAAATATTGAAAAAAAATTAAAAAATTTTACTGTTAATTTAAATTTTTATAAAAAAAAGACGCAAATAAAAATGTTTAAATTTAACTTAATAATAAATTGACCAATTATTATTAATTATTATTTTTCTCACAATTATCGTGATACTATATATATTTATAAAAAAAACCAGCATTTTTGCTTCATATGCCAAATATTTGAATAATTAGATGTTTTTTTTATTATAGATCCGGGAGCATTATATGTTTTAGTGTAAATTATATTTTGATCCTTGATATATAAAAATAAAATTTTCTTTAAAATAATTGGATTAATTTAAATCTCCTATTTATTGTTTCTTTTAATAAAAATCCTATTTTATTTAATTAATTGAGTTTAATAATATAAATATATTATTATTAAATTCAATTATTTTACTTACCAGTTTTTATTTATACTTATTTTTTTAAAAAGAATAATACAAGACAAATTAACAAAGAATATAATTGTCTTAATAAATAATAATTTTACAAAATATAATTACTTACCACTATTCAATGTATTTAACCTAATTTAATTTAATTCACTTCACTGATTCATTAATCCACTAATTAAATTAAATTAAATCAATTAAAATTTATTTTTAAATACTCAATTGAAATTTCTCCTTATTTTTTAAAAAAACAAGAAATCTACAATTTTTTATTATCAATTGAAATGTATCACGAGTCGATAAAGAAACGTTTCTCTTTATCATACTCCTCACTTTTACCGACAAAATTAATATTACATCAGTGCACTGTCAACTAAAAAATAACATTTTACAAAACTCGTTATTTATTCTTATTTCAGGTATTTTTATATATTACTTCTTGCTTTTTAACAATAATTATTCATGATTTATCATTTTCTCAACACTCAGACCGATTTCTTCTTTTATTAGACGCGAAATACAATGTTGGTGATTGGGCATAATGCATTGGATGATTGAGCAAACAGTCCAATTGTCCGAATGTCGTTTAGACAATTGGGCAGACGGCTTGCTCAATCAGCCAAATCGCTTGCTCAATAAATCTTTTTTTACTGGGATGCATAAATATGGTATTATTCGATTCTTTAATACTTTTTTTAAAGTTTCTAATAATTTTTTACCCTTTTTTCATTATTTAAAGGTTAAAAATAACAAAAATACAAGAGCGTCCGCGATCAGACGCGAATTGGACGCAACGGCGTCCGATCCGCGGTCATCCATTCCGCCAGGGTTCAATAACTTTGGATAGAATATCTGTTGATTGTTCACTAATAGCTCAAAAGATGCGTATTAAAAAACTCTACAAAATTAAAGAAAAATATTCATAGGTGTCGTAAGTTTTTTAAAGTTATGGACAAAAAACGATTTTTCAAACATTTTAAAATGCAAAAAAATAATAGTTAATCTTTACTATTATGACTCAAAGTACTCATGTGCTCGAAGATTCGAACGTTCAAATGAACGAAATCTCCCGCACACTGTGATCGACTAAAAATCAAGTTAAAATGAAATAAATATATGTATAAACACTTTTATTTATTAAATAATACTTATTACAACATTATTAAAAGCTAATAACACGAAAAAATTAAAAAATTGATATATCTAAATCACGAAGTAGTATAAGGAGCTCCCACTTCGAATAATAAGTGAAGACGATTTTCCTTTTTTGTTCGGGCCGTGCTTATGTAGCGTCAGCAGCGCCTCTGTAGTGAAAAGTGATGAAACAGTAGTGGAAAATGCAAATGGCTGCAAATACATATGAACAGCTGTAAAGTTGGAGCCGCGTTTTTGACAGAAGTAAACAAAAATTAACATAAAAGAAAAAGTTAATGTGTAATAAGGTATATATTTGAAAGTGATATTTTAAGGAAGTATACTCTACATTGAAGATCCTTGGTTTTTAAATGGTAAGTGTAATGTGAAAAATAATTATGTTTCAGTACTGTAAACTTTGTTTACAAGCATTTCAACATTGTTTCTGAGTTATTCATTACTATTAAATATAATTAACTGTTATAGAATGTAAAATATAATTCATTTATGATTTGGTTTCGTTATTTTTATTTAATACTATGGAAATGTTATAGGTTAAGATGCCAACAAAACGCGTAGCAGTGTCAAACGCCAAAAAAAGTTGTTCGATACGACGTAAGATAGAAAGTAAATCTGGTAAAATCTTGGACATTAGGAATATGAACGTCTGTACATTTAATTTTTTACAAAAACATATTGATCTAATAAAACTCCCTTCATCGGATTGGTCTTTTTCAAAAGGGACGTTATTCTGTGGATTTCAGAAAGTGGAAGATAATGGCACTGTGAAAAAAAGAGTAGCAGCAATTCCTGAATGTGGCATTAAAATTTATATTGATGACCAAGTAGTGCCATTTTGTGAATTTATTCACGTAATGAGTATTGCAGAATTTGGAAGACTGTTGGAAGTAGTCGAAAAGTATCCGTAAATTAAATAATTTATAATCGATTTTTTATAAACATTTTCATGTAATTTTTCAAATTTATCACTTTGAAAACTTGCTACTTATTGTTATAAATTGCAAAATCAAATTATAAATTAACTTGCCTTTTATAGTAGGCACTTGAATTTTATATTTAAAATCTGCATAATATAATTATGTATATTTTCGTATAATTTTTCAAAGTAAAATTGAATGTCAACGCCGTAGACAGTTTCATTTCGTCAATAAGAATAGCACCTGTAATAAAGCATAAATTAGTTCATTAAAGTTCATCCTTGGTATAATAATTGATATAAATCTTAATAAAATATTTCCAGTTACCGTGTCTATCTTTGGGGTCCATTGTTCCAGTTTTTAATTTTAAAGCTTCGAAGACGTTATCTTGGAACCCGTAAGCGCTCTTCATTCGTCTCATACATCTATCCAGTGTTTGGAAAGAAGGCAAAGCAAGTACCTTGTGCTTTCAAAGGTGTTTATAAGCCTTTTTGCTTTTAATTCTAAGCAAAATGCACTCATAAACCCATTGCCGACTATATCTCACTCCTCTGGGCGATTTAATTTTCGATGCATTGACACATGCTCGCACAGCCAATTGTTCTTTTGGCGGTAGTTCCTCAATCCCTTTCGCCAAACTTTCCCCTGTAGTTTGGGCACATTGTTCCTTTAATATATTCAGGCTATCTTTCAATTTCTTAACCTGAAAATAAACGTTAAAATCGTAAATAAATATACACTACCAACATGAATTGTAAGAACGCTTGTTTTTTAACACTGCAAAAAATCATTCATTTTCTGAACTATATCAAATAAATTTTTTTTTCTTTAATATTTTAAAAGCTACTAAAATTACGCACTTTGCAACGTTATCTTTAAATTAACATTATTCCTGATATAATGAATATTTTTTAACCGTTCTTAAGATTTCTTGTAATATTCTATTTAAAAATTAACCAAATCATCTTGTGGACGGTTCATTTTTTGCGTCATTTCAGTACTTATAAATCTTTTAAATTTACTTGTTTGGCAAGACGATTCTTCGCTTGCGATGTAAATTTGGAATTCTTCTTTAAATCAGCATTTCTGATTTTTAAAGTTGTGTTATGGTCCTGTAAATTTTTCTTAACCCGATTTCGGTTCCACAATTTCTTACACTCCACACAATATTTCGATTGTGGTCCGGAGGTGCCAAGTTTCTTCATTCGCACGAAGCCAATACAATTTTCAGCTCTGTAAAAAAAAGAATAAACTTCAATAACATAGAAAGTTATTAATGAATCTAAGATAAAAATAATATTTTTCTAACCGGGGTCGAGTGCATCTCATGCAAGGAAGCAAAGTGTCCAGCATCTCAAATAAAAAAATAAGGTCATTTACTTTGTCTAAAGTATTCCTTCCATGAAGAAAAACTTCTTTCTCTCCAAAGTAAATCTGAAAACATAAATGTTAATTATTTGTTAATTAGGGTGTATTACTTGAGGAAGTGCTTACATTAACTTCCTTATTTTTATGTAAAAAAATTCTCAGACTGTTGCAGTCTAAATTTTCTATCCACTTATTAAACAGCAGAAAGTCATTTTTTTGTGTCGCAAACCACAGAGATGATGGAAAGGGAATTTTTTTGAAATTCTTATAAATGTTCGAGAACTCTGTTTCCTCTCCAAAAGCTTTGTCCACGGCGATACGTTCAAAAGGCGGTGGTTCAAATATTTTTGTTTCCGCAATTGGTTCCACATGTGGAAAATGTTTTGGAACAGCATCATCCTTCAGACGAAATCGGATTCTTTTAGAACGAAATTCAGTGCCATCTGCTAACTTGATAACATCCTCTGTTATCACGTCGTTTTCGTCAAAATGTAAATGGCACACAAAAAATCTTTGCTTCAATGTGTCCCCGTTGGGTAGAACGCTTCTCCACAGTTGTAACATTTCATCCTGTTAAAATAATGTCCATTACCTTCATATCTTTGCAAAAAAATAATTATTCCATCAAAAATTCAAAATTTCTTAAAGAATTGAATTTTTGAAGAACTTTTTGTAATTATTGAAAATAATTAATTTAGAATAGTTTTTGTTGAGAAATTGAAAATAATTCATGGACGTAAGAAATATAGGGACAGGCCTCAATATTAAAATGTGGGCGAGGGGATTTCTGTGGTAGGTCGGAAGGGAAAGGCGCTCCGTTGGCTGCTTTACGATTGGTAGACTTAATGCGCAGGCGCTTCTCGTTTAAATATGAGGCGCGTATTTCTTTCAATTTGAAAAATACTTGTAATATTTATATCATATAAAGCATGGACGTTTTATTTATTGGTTTATTTTTAAATTTTGACAATTTTTACTAATTTTAATTTATTGGAAATTTTAAACATATTAATAGATTATTTCACAAAAAACTTTTACAAACAACTAAATTATATCCAAAACTTAGATTTATACCAATTAAAAAAATTAAAAAATAATAAATAAGCTTAACGAATAATTCAAGGATAATTTAATATTTAGTCAGTTTTATTTGTGTTAAATGTTTTATTTTTAAATTTTAGAATTATCGCAGACATTTTTTTATAAAAATGAAAATTAATTGAAAAATGTATTATGTACAATTCACGTAAGAAATCAGCATAGTTGAGTTAAAAATCCATTATGAAGTATCATTCTTCTTTATACAAAATTGTAATTCCTGCAAGAAACAAGATATAATAGGTATATTTTTAAAAATTGATTGGAAACCAATTATTATTGACGATAAATAAATTGAAAACATGCAAGTAATAGAGGATTTTTACAACAAAAAAGATATTTGAAAAAAATCTTTATTTCTACTAGTAGCAGAGAAGTTATGTAAAGAAAAAAGAAGTAACAGCACCATTTTTACAAAATATATAATGTTTACTATTGCAGTTTACAAAAATATTTCACAAAAACACAAAGTTCGTAAATCTTAGACATATTTTACAGAAAGTAATGATAATAATTATTTAATAATTAGTTAAAAATTCTTTAGTTATTATAAAATTTCTTTAGTTTCTCAATCACAATTTTTGTAAAATACTTTGAAGAAATTTATAGATATTATTAATATCTTTTACAAATATTCTTTCAGAAAACTGTTTCAGTCTTGTTCGACAACATATTTTCATATATTGATATCAATCCACAGTGGCCGATTTCCCGAAAAACCTGGCCAAAAGTCAAAAATTTTTTTTTAGAAATTTATACTTTTTATTGTTGAATATTATAAAGGAGGGTTCACTGCATAATTTTGAGAAAAAAAATTACACTTTTTTTATCACCAATTTATTATGTGAACAAGTAAAAGTGATCTTTGCCAGAAATTTACTCAGAACGTTTCATAACTATAAATTTTCGTCACAGTTAAAATAGTGAAAATATACTAATATACAGCAGATTTTTGAATATCTTTTTTTGGGAATTATTAACAAAGGTGTATGAAATATGTTGAATGTATTTATCATCACATTTAAAACGTACAGTTTTTAAAAAATGACATTAAACATCGCTATTCATGGCTACGATTTTTGTATTGTTTTATCAACGTAAATCATGAAAATAATTGTAAAATCCACCGATATCCGCGCTCTACCTGGTATTATCATAAACTAGAATATATTTTTGATTCATTTTAATTGAAATCAGCTGCCCGAAGCTGCCCCTGCAGTTTTGGTATCACTTTTTATTTCACCCAGCGCGTTGCACCGGCCGGCGGTACAACTGAACATGAAAAACTGACTTTTTCTTCATTCGCATTCGCTTTAAACTAAAATTTAAGCACTGTCTGTAATTAAAAAAAAATAAACTCTAACACATATACGCAATTTTATAATACCAGCAAATATTTTGGATCCGCCATATTGAGTTTGATAAAACAAATGTAAAATTTGATTTCAAAAACCCAGTAAACGTAAGTATACTAAGTTTGGTTAAAATCGTACCATTTTTTAATTTTTAACAAAGTTTTTAAAAATCTAAACGGCCATTTTAGATCCGCCATTTTGAATTTGAAACAACCAGTGTAAAATTTGAATTCAGAAGCCCAAAAAACATGGGTATACCAATTTTGATTGAAATCGTATCATTTTTCGATTTTCAGCAAAGTTTTCTAAAATCTAAACGGCCATTTTGGATCCGCCATTTTGAATTTGACACAACCAATGTAAAATTTGAATTCAGAAGCCCAAAAAACATGGGTATACCAATTTTGGTTGAAATCGTATCATTTTTCGATTTTTGGCTTTTCGGGAAATCGGCCACTGTGAAATCTCACAAAAATAACGTATTTAAATCTATAAAAAAATATTCTTTATAAAATGAGCATTTCATCACAGTCTTTTTTGTTGCACAATGAGATTAATTTGCATATATTATTCTTATACTGTGAATATTGTTTGCTATATTTAAGTATCTTATTCTTAATTTCTATCTAACAATCAGAAAATAATAATTTGTAAAAATATACAAACAACTAGTACTCAACTTTAAAAACGTTTTCCTTAAATATTTGCATGCTACTATCACAAGTAATATCTAATATTAACGAAACTAATGCAAAAGTATTAATGTCCCTTAAATTGAACCAAATTTGTGTAAAACTGTCTAGTTTTAATATCATCCCCAATAGCTGTTTTCGCAATATAAAACAGTCTTGTTTTAATCGTAAGAGCATTTTTACACGTTTTCACAATGCACTTTCCAGGTTTGCCCATTTTTTTAACAGTAGTAGCACATTAATTAATAATAGTTTGACACTTTTCACATCTAGTCATCTATACACAAACCACACAGACCATGACACAGACAGATAAATAAACTCACATTGCACGAATATTTTGTTAACCAATCAGCGATCTGCCAACGGCCACATGCGCATTAGGCGCCTTCCCCCTTACAGATTACCAAGTCAAACCCCGCGTCCATGTGCCCCGTCCCTATATTTCTTACGTCCATGAAATAATTGAATTTTGGTATAGCTACAGTTAAGGTATTATTAAATAATTGAATTTCAAGAGATTGTAACTTTACATTTTTGCAAATTTGAAGTACTGAAGACTTTTTACAAATTTTTCACAATAGTTACATTTTAGAGGATTTTTAATTGAAAAATGTTTTAAACAATTGAATTTTAGAAGAGATCAAGTTGAGATTTTATAAGAAATAATTGACTTTTAGGAGACTTAAGATACACATTTTATAAATAATTGAATTGTGGAAGATTTGCAACGTTAAGTCTGTATTTTTGAAAATTTTAATTCAAATTTTTACTTTTAAAAATTGCCTTATTTTTTTTAATTGAAAATATCTTAAAATATTTTCATTTCGATCAGGGAAAAATTCAAAATTCTTTCTAGAATTCAGGGAAAACAAAATCAAATATTGCTAACCGTTTTCGCCTTGAATAAATGGCTTTTCTCCTGTATATTCTTCTCCCTAATGTTCCTTGTCCTTGAGGAATTACAACCACTGACACAGCACGAGCTCATTTTACAAATTGCTTTTACTTTAATTGTAAATCCAAACTATATTCTTTCTCACATTTAATTTTTAAAAAACACAACCGTCGATATCAATGAGCTGTTCATATGTATTTGGAGCCATTTGCATTTTTCACTACTGTTTCATCACTTTTCACTACAGAGGCGCTGCTGACGCTACATAAGCACGGCCCGAACAAAAAAGGAAAATCGTCTTCTACTTTTTTCAAATGTACCCATAGAGTGGGAGCTCCTTATACTACTTCGTGATCTAAACAGACATAAAACATAACCAAGAATGTGTATAGAAATAACTTAAATAAATAAATCCTAATTGTTTACACTAAAGACCAGGTTATTTTCAAAAATTTTATATGAAAAAGTTGTTTCTTTTTAAACAATTTATATGGTTTACGGAAATCTTATAAGGATATTTAATATTTTGACACTCATATTTAGTATATTAAGTTACAATTGCGTAAGATTTTGCAGATTTTGGGGTTGTAATAACTTTTGTTATTTTTTTAAGAATGCCTGAAATAAAAATAATAAAGTTTAATATATTTAGAAACAAAAATTAGAATAGTTTTTGCGAAATTTATAATTGTATTATAAAAACTCTAAATGTTAAATTCTAATACGCCCTGTAACAAGTATTAGAATAAAATATTTCATTTTCTGTATTTAGAATTCCGTTAACTGGTATAATCATTTTTTTGTTTTTTTTGTAATCATTTTTTATATTTACATATAATACTAATAGAATTTTTTTTTCAAAAAATGATAGAAAAATATCAAAAAACACCGAAGTTTGACGAAGTTAAGTGATTGAGTCCGATTGGATTTGACCGATCACTAACGAGTAGTCACGAAAAAAAAATGTCAGATAAAAGTCAGGGAATTTTTTTCTTTAAGCTTTGCTGGACATCCTGATTTTAAATAGTATATTGTGCATCTAGGGAGGAAAATGGTTGATTTCCGCGAGTGTATTTTGCAGTTCGAGACGTAGCGAGTGCCCGAGCCGAAGGCGAGGGTTTGCGAGCGAAGACGCGTTCTAAAGCAATCCTTGATGACCGGATAGACTCTTAAGAAGGCATTTAAGAGCGAGAGTCTTGACACATTCAACTTGAAGTTGAACGTGGTGGAATAGCCCCACTGTAAGAGGAGCTTCGGAATCAGAGGATTATCCGACCAGCAGTAATTCCTAAGTATAAAGGCATTAGAAAGAAAGACTCTCCTGAATGAGAGTGGGGGTTCGCCAGACTCTGACAGAAGAACGATAACCGGAGTAGTTCTTATGCAACCCAATGCTGCTCTCAAAGCTGAGTATTGCACTCTGTCTAGGGCCCTAAGAGTAGTAGCGGCTGAGTCCGGAAAA